AGATTGGAGAAGCAGCTGGATTGCTTCTGTGCAAGCCAGCTTGTCTTGGGACTGGCATTGTCTTTCTTAGCTCTGGTCTCATGTGCACTACAAAAGCTCCATTTCAGCAGGTCTCTCTTTCCTTAAGCCAGAGAAGAAAGAGCAAATAATGTTTTTTTTTTTTTTTTTGGTACATAGAGCAAATCTTGTTTCCTCTTCTGCTGTGGCAAGTAGTCTACTTTGTATCTACTTTGAAGGATCTCCTTTATTTCGACTCTTTTTCTAGATTTGATTCTGCCTACCTTTTTCTGTGCTCGTCTCATTTGTTCAATTACTTGCTATTTTGCACTGAAAGAATTAATCTTGCTTTTGCATTCCCTGTTGATCTGCATTACCATCAACATTAAATCTGCAGTCAGTCCGATCTAGAGTCTAAACTGGGTTTATATATTTGGAGTTTTCCTTGCTACTCTTCTCTTTGTCCACATTCTTCTGAAGGTAATCTTCAATATCAGCAAAAGGGTATTCTTGATGAATCTTTTTCTCAATATCAGCAAAAGGGTATTCTTGATGAATCTTTCACTAAGATTTTCCCTTTTACTATCATCATGTCTTTTAAAATGTGCCCATGAACGGTGAATCTAAAATCGTTTCCTTGAGATGTGTAATTCTGGGGCCTTTTCCATTTTTTAGATTTCTCAGATTGTTGCTAGTACTTTGCATATATAAACTCCCCATCTGGGTTTCTTCAGAAAAATGGTTTCTTTTCTTTTTCCGTTTAGACTTTTGTAGTTAAAAAGAAGATTCCTTTGTTTATTAGTATTTTTTTTCTCAGATTTAACGGTGTAATGCCTCTTTTCTAGGTAGTGTGGATGCTGTTTCGTTGGAACAACAACTAGTCTAATAGCCAAAGCACTCAAGAAGGTGATTACTTGTTCTATCTCAACAAACCATGGAAGAGAGTTTTGTACCATTTAGAGGGATCAAGAATGATCTTCGAGGGAGATTGATGTGCTACAAGCAAGACTGGACTGGTGGTTTCAGGGCAGGCTTCAGGTAACTTGCCATAGAAATGGATAGATGATTGTGTTAATTTAGCGCTTCTGGATATATATATATATATATATATATATATTTGTTCCATTTGGCACTGGAAATGATGTTTATCTTTGTAATTTTATAATTTTTCATAGGATTTTGGCCCCTACAACATACATATTTTTTGCGTCAGCAATTCCAGTTATTTCATTCGGAGAACAGCTGGACAGAGACACAGGTAATTCTAAAATTTCTATGTTTAACTTTTTCCACTCGTTTAGTGTGTGGATCTAAGTACTCATCATAGTTGTTCTTGTATTTTGATAGATGGGGTTCTCACAGCTGTTCAAACTCTAGCCTCCACTGCATTATGTGGAATTATACACTCCATCATCGGAGGCCAGCCATTGCTGATCCTTGGAGTGGCAGAGCCAACCGTAATTATGTATACATTTATGTTTAAATTTGCTAAAAGTAGGCCAGATTTGGGATCAAAGCTCTTCCTGGCATGGACTGGATGGTACCTTCTTTGCTTCTTACCTGCCTGATGATATAATTGAATTCTATAGGAATGTAATACTTAGTGTTTTCATCAGTACTTAAAAAAAGGAATTTGTTGTCATTTTTGACATGCAGGGTATGTGTGTGGACTGCAGTCTTGTTGTTCCTTTTGGCTATCTTAGGAGCTTGCTCCATCATCAATAGGTTTACTCGTGTGGCTGGAGAGTTGTTTGGACTTCTGATTGCAATGCTTTTCATGCAAGAAGCTATCAGAGTAAGATATTGTTGTTCTTTTTCATCCCTACATCTTATTAGCAGACTTCGCAAACCTTAGTGAAAACTGGGTGAGAAGGGGTTGCTTTTCTGGATCCCAAGTTCTAAAGTTTTACACCAATTCATTAGCAGACAGTGAATTGGGTCCTTAAATGGTTCATAGGCATTCCACCTTTGGTTATGGTTCTCAAAGGATGCTTTGGTAGATTTGCAGTGAGAATGCTCCATTAAATTAGTTTCAGATTTTTAATCTATAGAATTGGGTTTTCTAGGGACTTGTTCATGAGTTTGGCATACCTGGAAGGGAAAATCCAAATGCAATTGAGTTTCAATCTTCATGGAGATTTGCAAATGGGATGTTTGCTTTGGTTTTATCATTTGGCCTTTTGCTTACTGCATTAAGAAGTCGAAAAGCAAGATCTTGGAGGTATGGATCTGGTAAGTCAATGAACTACTATTTATACATTACAAATTTCTTCCATCCATACAGTTAATATATTTATAACCAAATTCACTTTCCTGATGTTCCATTGATCACAGTCTCATTGCTCTCAAACTCTACATTTCCTTTTAATCTATAGTGCACTTGCTACAACTATAAGTGATAAGTCTATGAGCAATGACAAGGCCACGTTCTTGCTTTGCAAGAATCAACACAATTTTGGGCTCATTTAAGTGCGTTTCAAACCTAATCCTGGGATAAAAGAAGTGAATAAGGGTTAAGGAATGCTAACTTCCAAGGAATTAGATGGGACATAAATGGACTCATCTGGGAATGCTTGAAATTCATGCCCCACAAAGAAATGGACCCCTAAATTGCCTGAAAAGGTAATTAGGAGCTATCTTTTCTGTAACTTATGGATTTTGCTTTTACCTTCCAAAAGGGTGGCTGCGAGGCTTTATAGCAGATTATGGTGTGCCATTGATGGTTCTGGTCTGGACAGCAGTTTCTTATACACCAGCAGGAAGTATTCCAAAGGGAATTCCAAGGCGCCTCTTTAGCCCAAATCCATGGTCACCTGGTGCTTATGAAAATTGGACTGTTGTTAAGGTATCCAAGCATCGTTCAGTGTGCACTCCTATCATCTTAGATTTAAATTAAGGTCCTTTTCCTATTCTGTTTTTCTAAATAGTGTCTCTTTTGTTGAAAAGGCATTTAATGGCTAATGCTTAAATTGACAGGACATGTTAAATGTTCCAGTGCTTTATATCATTGGAGCTTTCATTCCAGCAACAATGATAGCAGTTCTGTATTATTTTGATCACAGTGTGGCATCTCAGCTTGCTCAGCAGAAGGAATTCAATTTGAAGAAACCACCTTCTTTCCATTATGATCTGTTACTCTTGGGGTTTTTGGTACATGAACTTCAAATGAATACCTTTTCCCTTCTTGACATGTACATCCTTATTCATTTTTCTTCAGTTAAATTCACAGTATGGTTTATAATGCATCTGGCAGACAATATTATGCGGCCTTATTGGCATCCCTCCAGCAAATGGTGTTATTCCACAATCTCCCATGCATACTAAAAGCTTAGCTACACTGAAGCACCAGGTCTTTAAATCCAACTACCTATATATAAACTTTCCATTGATCATGAATCATGTGACTTAGCCTTGATTTCTTTTTTATTGAATCACATGAATCTTATTTTTAACCTTGAAAACCCATTAACACGTGTTTTAGAATCTTTAGAAAAAATGATTATAATTCAGGCATGCTAACTCAACCATATAGTTTTTCACAAAGATTTGTGTTTTTGCAGCTACTTCGGAATAAACTTGTGGCAGCAGCACGTAAATGTATGCGTAGGAATGCTAGCCTAGGAGAGGTGTATGGAAGCATGCAAGAAGCCTATCAGCATATGCAGAGCCCACTGATTCACCAGGAATCTTCTGCTCAGGTATTGACTTCATAATCCATATCCTATTTGTAACTGTTCCCTTGGACAAAAGCTGTAATTGTTGATCAGTTGTGTTGATATAGTACAATCTGGCCTAAAGCATCAGATGTTTTCCAAACAGGGCCTGAAGGAATTGAAAGAGTCCACTATTCAGATGGCTTCTAACATGGGCGATGCTCCACTTGACGAAACTGTATTTGATGTTGAGAAGGAAATTGATGATTTGTTGCCTGTAGAGGTAAAAGAACAGCGGGTTAGTAACTTGCTTCAAGCTATAATGGTGGGAGCTTGTGTTGCGGCTATGCCTTTTATTAAAATGATCCCAACCTCAGTGCTCTGGGGATATTTTGCTTTCATGGCCATTGAAAGCTTGCCTGGTAACCAGTTTTGGGAGCGGATATTGTTGCTCTTCACAGCACCAAGCAGAAGATACAAGTACCTTCTTAATTCCTTTCTTCATTTTTCCAAGTCTCACTGAACTCACCCATCAGTCAGCATTTTTTAACTCTGAAGTTTATTTCAGGGTACTGGAGGACTACCATGCTACATTTGTGGAAACTGTACCTTTCAAGACAATTGCAGTATTTACAATTTTCCAGACTGCCTACTTGCTTGTCTGTTTTGGAATTACATGGGTTCCAATTGCTGGGGTTCTTTTCCCACTGATGATCATGCTTCTGGTTCCTGTGAGACAATACATTCTGCCCAAGTTTTTCAAAGGAGCACACCTCCAAGATCTGGATGCTGCTGAGTATGAAGAAGCTCCAGCCTTATCCTTCAACCTAACTGTAAGTTCCTACTATTATTTCCCGCCTAAATTCATCATCTAAATTCTTGGTGTCACATAAATGAATTCTACATACACCTTCCAGTTCATAATTCTGAAATGGTTAATCTATTTCTATACCAGGAATCGGAGCTAGTTAGTAGGACTGGTTCATTTGCAGATGATGGGGAGATTTTAGATGGAATGGTTACTCGCAGCCGGGGTGAAATCCGGCGTGTATGCAGTCTTAAGATGGCAAGCGGCACTGCAACACCATCTATTCAGAGTCCCCGCTTCTCGGAAAAGGAGGACTGCAGCAGCCCCCATGGGGTGATTACTCGCAGCCGGGGTGAAATTCGGCGCATATGCAGTCTGAACAAGATTGTAGTTGGCACTGCATCACCATCCCTCCAGAGTCACCACTCCTTCGAAAAGGAGGAGTGCAGCCCCCGGATAAGCGAGTTGAGAGGGGAGCAAAGTCCTCGTAATGTTCCAAGACGGCCAATCAGTCCAAGAACTACCGAACCAAGACCATCAAACTTAGGAAAGACTGGTTAGAAATTAATCTTTATAATTCATTAAGAACGTTGCTAGGGTTTGTTATAAAATTGCCGAGAAGAGACAGCTTAGGAAGATCTAGTTTAATTATTGTCTTCAAGTTCCAAACACTGCTTGTGAATTCAGATCACGAAAATGCTACAGTTACAATATCACTTAGCATTATAAACTATGTTGTGTGGGAAGGTGTGATAATAGCCATTAATTTTTAGTTTTTCATGTCACTTCATGAAGTTTGTAGCTTCCTATAGTCTTCCAATCTTTTCGATGGAAAATTTTCGAGGACACAAAAATACCAACGAAACATAGATGGAAGCATGATGATAACGTAACTTTTTTTATTTTTCAAAGAACAAAATTTTAACATAAAGAACTGAGTACGCAAGTTTTTATCAATGGTAATGGCATTTGAAATTTCTAAATTCATCTCTATTGCACGATGAGTAAAAGGAACGGGAAATTTCTGTATTGCTCTAACAAGTAATGTCAATAGCTTAATGCATGTTCAAGTTTCATCATTATGATCCATCATACTCAGAAGAGAAACCATAGACAGGCAGCAAAATGAAATGAAACCATCTTATTACTCAGTTTCGCATCCAAAACTTTAATCTCATATGCCACCTGACATTATAAAGAAAAGAGATACCCTAAACAACATCAAGAACTCTTGCTAAATTTCCGTCCAGATGCCTTCTCAGACTCATATAGCATGTGGTTTATGAGTCCTCTTGCCGCACTGCAATCAAAATTTTGGACATGGTTACCCAATTGAAGTAGAAAATGGAACAGATACACTTTGAACTTCCAATCCAAATTATTAATATCTTACTACTTCAGTCCCCCACATAACACCCTTGATGCATATGGAAAAAATTTGAGAAACAAGGCAAACAGAAACTCACTCATCCTTTAATTTCTGAATCCTCTCTGGATCTGTCTCGTGCATATGTTTTTTAAACTGCTGCCTCACCATTCCAACAACCAGCTCTGTATTATGTTGCTGTATGATAAATACTAAAAGTTAATATCCTGTGAGTCCACAATTCATTTTGAAAGAACATCATGAAAATCTAAAGCTTAGTTTTCCCAAGCTAAAATTGGTAATGCATAAACCAAACCAAATGACAGGTGTGGAGACTGGAGATATCAGGTCTCCACCATCAACCAAAATTTTTTTGCTCCTCCTCGCAAGATCATACAACAATATCAAAGAAGCTACTATCATCGTTCCTAATAACAACTTGTAAACAACTAAATCTGATGCCAAAAAGCAAAGTCAATGATTTAGTGGCCGATTGGTAATCTCCTTCCTCTTGGAAATAGAGATCCCGGGTTTGAGTCATAACAGCAAGTGTGAAATGGAAAAAGAGATGAGAGAGGTTACTTCTTAGTCTGTAACTCAACAATCAAAAGAAAAAAACCATAGTAATTTTGGGGGGCTAGGAACACCAATTAATACAAGACCAATGACCTTAGATGGGATTTCAAACAAACTTAATTTCCCTTGGCTACACCCAAAAAGTTAAAAGTTTTTATTTTTGACATCTTTATAGACCTAAATACCAACTTTAAGTAAATGAATGAAGCAACACCCATTAGGCTATTACCCAAAACTTCAAGAAATATCAAGAGAGAGAAAATGTTGAGTACCTTATGACCAATGTATTTAGCTCTTCGAAGGCACTCACGGTAAAGCTTCAATTGTTGCATAATGCCAAAAAAGAGGAAAAAAATCAGGAATCAAATGCAGTGTATTTTTGTATAATCAAATCGCACGAATATACTGATAAGAATACCATAGTCGAGATAATACTAACTCTAATCACATTGTCAGCTAGCTCAGGAGGCAAAGCTGTTTGCAAAGATGGCATTTTTT